AATCTATCAGAGATATTCCTACAGAGGATATTGCTAACGAAGCAGCCGACGCTATTCCGACAAATACATAGTTAAATGAAACTAACTAATCATGATAGCTGACAGGGTGTCCACCTTGGTTAAAAAAAAAAACGAATTTTCTGAAAAAATAATCGCCAAAAATCACCTATTTTTTTCTATAAAATGATGAAATCGACTTAACAAATATTTTATTTTAAAAAAGAGATCATGTTGTAATATAGTTTTTAAAACCAAAAACGAATATAATATCTTCAGGGTAATAATAAATAACACAAATAACTTATATAATAGTGATGTACCAACAATTTTCTTTAAAAATACGCATACTTTTTTAAAAATATTTGTATCAACACATTTTGCAATAGAACTGCGCAATTATTAAATTTATTATAACTCATATTAATTGATTAATCGCACAATCCGCTTTTAAGCGCTCGGCTAAAAATAAAATAAAAAGCTATAATAAGGCGAGATCAGCTATTTCCACAATTTCTTCAAAATCACCTATAGTGTCTGAATCATTTATATTTGTGTTGTTTTCATATATTGAGCTATTCAACCTTGGTAACATACTGGTTGCTATTAGAAACGTTTTGCAGCAAAAACTATTAGCCTTCATATAACATTCCATTCGAACTATTGAATTAAGGCTTTCCAACCTCATCATATTTCGAATCTTAATTTTTGTTGAATTCATTACGGAAAAAACACGCGCAACAAAAGCAATTGAGTGCGGCAAGGATAATAATATGAAGGCTACTTTACTTATATTTCCAAACATTTTATTGCCCGTTGCGGTTTTCACTCCGTAAGCAAGTATCCAAAATTCTGCAGAGTCCGACGGAATGCCGTTCTGAAAAAAGTTATTCTATGGGAAAGTTAAAATACTTAAATATTCAAAGTCAAATAGTTAATAGTAATAGTTGAAATTCGCCCCTGATTTAAAAACTTTTCTGGTGACAACATCAAAGCTTTTTTAAAAGTATTTAATTGATTAGGTAATCGTTTCAAAAGTTCTTCGATTAGGGTGATTAAACATGTTTGACAGTCTTTTAATATGCTTGTTAAGTCAAGTTTATCACGCAGCTCATTAGCGTATTCTGCAAAGTTATCGTGGAAAACTAAGTTTCATATATTTTTATAATTGAATGGTCGCCGCGAATAATGTTGTAAGCGCCAATTTACTCAAAATTTGTTTTTTCGTAGATTACCGTTAAAAATACTCTTGCGTATCATAAGGTCGCGAAATTTCTCAATTTTCATCAGTTTTCGGACATTAACCTACGCTCCAAAGTAAGTAGTCAGTAGAAAAACGTTTTAAGTGCAGGTGACCATGGCCGATTTAAAATTAACAAGTGTAATGCAAAAGTGCAATAATGGCAAAAACCGTAAAGTACATTTCAAACATTGGAATGATATGAAAAATAACAGGCTAGTAAATAGTGGGGAAGAATATTTAGGAAGAAATGGGAAAGGGATATTCAAAAAAAAATTACCATAAACGGTAATGTGGAAAAACGTAAGGGAAGGAGCTGTGCTAGTATCAATTTTGGTTTTGTATTCCCCAAATATTCAAATGCGCTTGTTCGCTTCACTGCTCAAGCTTGATATTGGTGACTATTCAAAAACATTTCTCCAAATTTTTATAAAATGACCTATGATGAACAATCAAAGAAACCTTATTGTTATATTTATTACATTCATTTGTCGAAAAAGGTTGTAAGCGCCACCAGCAAAGATGCTAGGCTTACTGGTAAAACGTGTTATCATCCATTGGGATTTGGATATAAAACGTTTTTCCATCATTAAATCTTTTTTTGACTTGAAAGATATATATGGATATATATTTGCACGGGCAAGTTTCTTGGAGACTGCTGCACTGGAAAATGGAAAACTAAATCAAATGACTTTATGTGCGTCATCAAAAACATTCTTTTCCATTCCTGAAAACTTATAATTATGTCGCTTACAACGTTATTCGCGGCGACCATTCAATTGTAAAAAATTTATTTGAAGGGAAAAAATCGCCAATGGCGATATCCTAAATTTTTACGCGCAAATATCAAAAAAGACGCCAAATTGGCGCTAAATCGCCAAATCTGGACACTCTGATAGCTGATAATATCAGAGACCCCCGAGACAATATGTACATACATACATACATATCTTTACCATTAATTCGAAACTTTTTTAGAAACTATCCCAGGCTAAATAAAATAGGTTTTTTTAATATTTTAATTGAGCTTTGTACTACGATTGTTTATTAGGAAAAATTGGAAAAGCGACAAAGTCTAAGCGGTAGAAGTTAAAGCAGCTATTTCGGAGATCACCACATCTCCTCATCAGTTTTCTTTTTTCTAGACTTCAGCAGGGATCGAACCTGCGTAATCGATGTTCAAAGTCAGAAGCGTTAACCACTGAGCTATGTACATCCCGTAAACTCTTGTTGCTAATTAATTTTCCTTATTCAACCATCTCCAATCAAGTGCAGCTGATTTGCCGCTATTTAAACTCGACAGCGTGATTATTGTTGTCAATTCTATACATCCATTTGCTTATTTGCTTTTTTGTATAGTTTCAGGCAGGCTCTTCCTAAACTATGTATTTGTCAATGTTATTGTGGCTTATTAACATTTTATTTTTTTAATATTTTTATTGAGCTTTGTACCACGATTGCTTATTAGGAAAAATTGAAAAAAGCAACAAAGTCTAAGCGGTAGAAGTTATAGCAGCTGTTTCGGAGATCACCACATCTCCTCATCAGACTTCTTTTTTCTAGCCTTCAGCAGGGATCTAACCTGCGTAATCGATGTTCAAAGTCAGAAGCGTTAACCACTGAGCTATGTACATCCCGTAAACTCTTGTTGCTAATTAATTTTCCTTATTCAACCCACTACTCAAGTGCAGCTGATTTGCTGCTATTTAAACTCGATAGCGTGATTGTTGTTGTCAATTCTATACATCCATTTGCTTATTTGTTTTTTTGTATACTTTCGGGCAGGCTCTTCCTAAACTATGTATTTGTCAATGTTATTGTGGCTTATTAAAATTTCTTTTTTTTTTAATATTTTTATTGAGCTTTGTATCACGATTGTTTATTAGGAAAAATTGAAAAATAGAAAATAGGTTTTGATCTCTTGAAATAGCAGATGATGAAGACCCAAAGTTCAAGCAAAATAATCCCAAGGCCCCACCAATCTTCGTTGATAAAGTAAGCAACATTACCCCCCTAATGAAGCTTTTATCTGAAACTGCTCCAAGTCTGTACGACTTAAAGCTCATAAGCAATGAGCAAGTTAAAATACAAGCAAAAACTCCCGAGGCCGACAAAACAATTGTTCAGCAACAAGAGCAAAAAAAAAACACTGAGTTTTATACATACAAGCCAAAACGAGAAAGAAGTTTCAAAGTTATACTCAGAAATATGCACTCGTATATTGGCACCCAAGAAATCGCTGAAGCCCTACAAAATCTCGGCCATATCCGTATTAACTTTTACAATATGAAACACAGAAACACGAAAAAACCGCTACCAATGTTCATTGTAGAGCTAAAAGCAAACCCTAATAACAAGGAAGTAAACAATATCAAATATCTCTTCAACACAAAAATTGTATTTGAACCCCCACGCCCAAAACGTGAAATTCAGCAATGCGCTAACTTTCAACAGTATGGACACACAAAAGCATACTGCCGTAAAAGACCGGTATGTAATAAATGTGCTGGCCCCCACTCGACTGCAGATTGCTCGCGCAAGACAAAATCCAACGATGTTAAATGTGCTCTGTGTCAAGGAAATCACCCAGCAAACTATAAATTCTGCATCGTGTACAAAAATCTGCAGAAACTTAAATGCCCACCATTAAGAAGAATGGAGGATAACAATCCCAAAAGTGTCAGCCAGCAGCAATCAGCTCCACTTTCAGCCAATCGAGTCTCGCAACCGCCCCGAAATTTATTTTCTTACTCCCAAATGTTGAAAAGCACACAAGATCCGAGTACAAGTAACTCAATCCCTCAATCAAAAGAAAACGCCTCTGATGCCCAACCGAAATGCGAGAAATGATAATGCTTCTCCAGCAAGTTATGCAACAAATCACAACTATGATGAATCTGCTCGTCACCCTTACGACGAAGTCCGGCATCCCTACAATCACATGAATATTCTCCTGTGGAATGCTAATGGCCTATCAAAACACGTACTCGAAGTTAAAACGCTATTAAAGTCTCATAATATAGATATTCTCCTATTATCCGAAACCCATTTCACCGAAAAGAGCTATTTTCAAATATCGAATTACAAACTCTATCACACAATACATCCTGATAAAAAAGCACATGCTGGCTCAGCTATATTAATAAAAAACAATATTAAACACTTTAATAATGGGCCGTATGAATAAAAACTAAGCAATTGCTTTTTCTTAAAATTTCATACCTTTTACTTCAAATTTGTTTGAATACATTGAGTAAAAGATCTGAAATTTTAAGAAAAAGCAATTGCTTATTTTTATTCATACGGCCCAATAACTCATACTGCACAGAAGCTATCCAAGACTTGAAAGGCCAAATAACAATCTCAGCAGTATATAGCCCACCCAACATGCGATCAAGTCAGAAGATTATAGTTGTTTTCTTTTGTACCCGAGCTGCAAAAGAACGATACGTAGGTAATCGAATTACGTGGAAAGCAACAACACAAAATAAGCAAGTTGAGTTAATATAAGCGGTTTGAGTTGAAAACGCTTAAACAATAGCCGACCTGATGAATAGTGTTGCAAAGTAAAAGACCGGCACTATTGTGAATGAGTCACTGAAAAGTACTAAGGGAAATTTCTGCTAAATGTCAAACTGATGGGGAAATTTCAGGCAAACTTCAAAATTAAGAGAAACAAAATTAGCAGCAGTGAGTAAAATAGCGTCTCATAGTTTTTTATAAAAATATCAAATAAAATATGATTTATATTTCAGAATACAAGACCAGAAACGAAGAAGATGGACCCGCGAAGAAACCACAGGTTTTTTGAGGTGCTACCTTGCGCGGAAGGAAGAATTCCAGCATCCTAAAAAAAAAGAGGTTGGCATACGCAAATGTGTTAGAAGATATGTTGTCAATCGGCATTACGGTGCGTAAAATACAAAAAATAAAAGTTTAAAATGAGGAATTTAAATAACTATTCTTACTTTTAGGATTCGGAGAGAACACCATTGTGCTTGGAGTCGAAGATGCGCACTTTACTTCAGGCGTACAAATCGGCAAGTGACAACAACCGCAGTACGGGTGCCAGCCCTTGTTTTGCGCCATTTATGGAGCTAATGAATGAAATCTTTGGGAGGAGCCCAATAATTTCTAACGACCACACCGTCCACGTGGGCTTCAGACCGGCTACAGTACTGTCGGTGAGTGTAGTGGCGTCAACATCATCAAAGACACCACAGCCATCTCTGTCACTGCTGCCACCGTCACCATCGCCAACTCCATCGCCACTACCACCACCGTCACCATCGCCATCTCCATCCCCACTGCCACCACCGTCACCATCTCCATCCCCATCCCCACTGCCACGAAGAAAGCGTTCAGCTCGAGAGGCTTATTTGAAAAAAAAAAATGAGCTGAAGAAGTTGCAGGCGGAAGAAAAATTAAAATTGAAGGCTAAATCCATACAGCAATTTAAAGAATTGCTTAAAGAAAAATTTGAAAGAGATGCTGATATAGAAAAAAGAAAACTCGAGTTATTGGAAAAACTGGCAAATAAGTAGCACTTTGCTTTTTTCATAATTTTTTAATGTGATTTACTTTTTTTTGAATTAGGACTTTTGTGTGTCATTTTCTTCATTGGCGTCGCACAAATCGTTAAAAGTTATGCAAATGTTATGTACAACACACGTACTGACCACGATGTTCGTAATCATCTTCAAATCTGTTTGCTCTGTAAATTTCAGCAGCCTTCGGAAACGTCCTTTTAACAGCCCAAACGCATTTTCAACTACCATTCGCGTTGAAGAATGTATTTCGTTGAATTTTCGTTGACTTTGGGTTAAATTTCCATAGTCTTTAAATGGTGACACCAGCCATTTCATCAACGGATATGCCGAATCTCCGATAATAAAATAGGAACCTGATAACATTTCTTCATAATATCTTTCGGCATCGTGGAATAGTTTTGATCTTCTCAAAACTCTGAAATCATGAAGCGAGCCAGGTTCACCACAAGTTATGTCCGTGAACTTTTTATCGGCATCTACTACTGCTTGAAGCACCAAGCTGTACGATTTTTTTCGATTAAAGTACATCTGTTTTTGATCTTTCGGACCCTTAATAATAATATGTGTGCAATCTATAGCTCCAATCACGCCAGGTATACGTTTTTTTTTGGTGAAATAAGCACCTTCTGGCCACTTGATGTATTCATGGCTAATAGATACCAAGAATTCGGTAACTCGTTGAACTGTTGTCCACGCGGCCGAAGTGGCTACCCCAAACAAATTACCTAGCTGCATAAATGTCACGGTGTTGCTTATGTACCAAATATACATATAAACTGCCTTTTTGGGTGAAATGCGTGACCTACCACCACCAGACTGGTCAGGAAGAAACGCAGATATTGAATATTTCTCTGAAATAGGAAAAGTTTTTTAAATTGCTAAATGTGCTTGTTTCAAAAAGTTTGCATTTATTACTTGTTAGATACTCCACTGTTTCACGTTTCAGTCTCATGTTAATTTTGAAGTCCATCTCACTCATTGCATCGAGAGTACCTTCAAAGTTGGAACACTTCTCATGATGTTCATTTTCGCTTTCCGAGTCTTCAGAGGATGAACTGGAACTTTTAAATATGGTTTCCAGTATTTCGCTTACGATTTCCCATGGTCTTGCCTGGCATAATTCAAGCTGCTCGCCCACACACATTGACACGATCTGGACAAAAAGTACACAATCACTTATTAAATATAATTATTTATTATAAAATATATATATATATGTATATTTACCAAAGATTCTTCGGAATTCGCTCAAAAATTTCACAAACAGTCCACATTTTTTGACAGCGGACACCAGTGTTGTGAAGTGAATGCAAATTATAAGACAGTTGAATATAAGCCAGTTGAGCGTTCTTTTGCAAAACTCTAGGAAGCAGGTTTTTAATTGGAGGAGACTACAACGCAAAACACCCACAATGGGGTTCTCGCTTCATCACTCCTAAAGGCCGACAACTCTTTGCGGATATGGCAAGATTAAACTTCACTCAGCCTCCTCAGGTTCACCAACGTATTGGCCAACCGATACCAAAAAAATTCCAGACTTAATAGACTTTTGCGTGTTTAAAGGTATTGCAGATAATGAAATAATATGTAATCCCTTTTTCGATTTATCCTTTGACCATTCTCCCGTAATGGTCACTCTAAGCAATAATCTTGTTGACTCAAATTCTCAATGTTCTCTTCACAACAACAGAACTGACTGGAATCTCTTTCAAAGCTTAACATCTTCAAAATCAAATTTGAAACACTCGCTGAAATCTAGCGAAGATATCATTGCAGCTGTTGAACACTTCAATAACTACATCCAATAAGCTGCTTGGAGTTCAACTCCCATTCTAAGCAAATCACAGTGTACAAGAATCTCTTCTCTTGTAAAAGAAAAACTGACCAAAAAATGCCAGGCTAGAAAGGAGTGGCACCAGACTAGACATCCCGAAGACAAGAAAAGATTAAATACGCTAACGACAGAGATCAAAGAAATCTTGCAAAAAGAACGCAATTCCCAACTTCGTCATTATCAGAGACTGGCTTGCGTTGAAAGCAACTATTGCAAACTCAATCAATACTGCTGCTTTGTATGACGGAGCAGCGTGTTGGCATAGTAGTATCGATACCTAAAAAAATTAGAGGATGACTGAACACCAGCGCATAGCGTGCTGTCTTGCAAATACAGCCACCACAAGTGAACGATACTTATAACAGCTCATACTGATATTGACTTCGGCAAAACAGTATTCCGAATGCTCGTTCACGAAACTAGCAAACGCGGCATTTGAACGGTTGCCGAAAGCATGAGAGCTCATTGGGACGGTTGGCGAAGCAAGACGCCGCAGTTCATTTGTTGCAGAAGTCGTTTGACTTGTTGCTGAAAGCCATTTGACTTGTTGCTGAAAGCCATTTGACTTGTTGATGAAAGCACGACGAATGTAGTAAAGGGTAATTTGTCGTCTCGTATTAGAGTTGTCAAACTATCGATGGAACTATCGATAGTATCGATAGTTTCAACTTTTTTAGACTATCAATACTCATTGATAGTTTTTTCTTATACTATCAAAAATATCGATAGTTTAGTAGGACTAACGATCATCTCTCCCAATTTTTTTGAAATTATACATATGTACATATGTTAATCGTAAATCCTGTTTTGTTTGTATAACTTGTGTTTGTTTTTGAACTTTCTAAAAAGAGAAGCATTTTGGCTAAGTAATTACTTAATTTTGTATGATTATAACTTTTATAAGATAATATTTATTTCACTATGATCCTGTAAAAACAAAGCAACCTAAGCACTATCGATAGTGCTATCGATAGTTTTGTTTTTTTCGAGACTATCGTGAATATTGATAGTTTTCTGACAACTATCAAAACTATCGATGGTGTGACTATCGATAGTTTGACACCTCTATCTCGTATGTATGTATGTATTTATAGCGCGTCTACCATTCAATTGCTTTACTCTCTTCCAGAGTGTCCAGATTTGGCGATTTCGCGCCAATTTAGCGATTTTTTGTTCGATATTTGCGCGTACAAATTTAGGAAATCGCCATTGGCGATTTTTGGCGATTTTTTCCATTCAAATAAATTTTTCCCAATTATAAAAATATACACAACTTAGTTTTCCACGATAATTTTACAGAAGAGGCTAATGAACTGCGTAATAAACTTGACTTAAGAAGCATATTAAAATACTGTCAAAAATGTTTAATCACCCTAATCGAAGAACTTTTGAAACGATTATCTCGTCAATTAAATACTTTTAAAAAAGCTTTGATTCTATCACCAGAAAAGTGTGTGAATCACAAGAGGGGGAGTTTCAGGGACCTGCCAATTCACTATTTGACTTTGAATAATGGAATAACTTTTCTCAGAACCATTCCATCCGACTCTGAAGTATTTTGGATAATTGCTTACGGAGTGAAAAGCGCAACAGGCAATAAAATGTTTGGAAATATAAGTAAATTCATATTATTATCCTTGCCGCACTCACATGCTTTGTTGAGCGCGTTTTTTCCGTATTGAATTCAACAAAAACTAAGATTCGAAATAGGATGAGGTTGGAAAGTCTTAATACAATAGTTCGAATAAAGTGTTATATGAAGGCTAATAGTTTCTGCTGCAAAACGTTTCCAATATCAAACAGTACGTCATCAAGGTTGAATAGCTCAATATATGACAACAACAGAAATGTAAATCATTCAAACACTATAGGTGATTTTGAAGAAATTGTGGAAATAGCTGATCTCGCCTTATTATAGGTTTTATTTAATTTTTAGCGCCGAACTTTTAAGCGCGGCTTGTGCGATTAATAAATTTTTTTTTTTTTTTAGATTGGCGCTTACACATATGTTAGTGTTTGGCCGAGCTCCTCCGATTTGTGGCGTGCGCCTTGATGTTGTCACACAAATCGGAGGGACATACAGTTTTATGCCGACTCCAAACGGCGATTGTATTTTTATGAGAAGCTATTTTTCATTGCAGAAATACACTCGAAGGTTTGCCATTGCCTGCCGAGGAACGACCGCTGTTAAGAAAAAAACCTTTTTTCTATGTTTTTTGCGATGTTGCTTGACCAGGGTTTGAACCCAGGTGCTGCGGAGTGGAAGCGCGCACTGTTTACCACTACACTTAATCAATTAATATGAGTTAAAATAAATTAAGTAATTGCGCAGTCCTATTGCAAAATGTATTGAAACAAATATTTTTAAAAAGTATGCGTATTTTTAAAGAAAATTGTTTGTACATCACTGTTATATAAGTGTTTTTTGTTATTTATTATTACCCTCTGAAGGTATTATATTCGTTTTTGGTTTTAAAAACAATATTATAACAATATCTCATTTTTACAATAAAAGATTTGTTAAATCGATTTAATGAATTTTATTAAAAAAATTGGCGATTTTTGCCGATTTTTTTTTTCAAAAATTGCGATTTTTTTAAACAATCTGGCCACCCTGCTCTCTGCTGGCGCCAAGAACGTGTTGGCAGGCTAGTTGTGAGGAATGTGCATGCGTACATATGTGTGTATGTATGTACATATCAATGCTTCATTTCAAACAAGCAAATGTCGTTGAATTGTTTTTGAAATACAGTAGGGGTATTCTCCAAATCTTGCAAAGCCATTGCACGTAGCACGGATTGCATGGATTGCATAACTTGCAAACACACAACAACAAAATACATGGGAAACGACATTTCCTATCGCTGCAAAATATGCAACGTCGAAACCCATGTATATATTTTGCAAAATAGCATAGCATAGCATAGGGTAAATTCGATATTCTATGCTTCGATATTCGAATTTTAATCGAATTTTAGCTCCAAGATGGCGGATTTTTGAAATCGAACTTTGTGTTGCTAAAATTCGGATAAAATCGAATTTTTCTAGGAAAAATCGAATTTCATCTTTATTTCCAAAAGAAAATCAACTCTTCAACTTTCTTCTTTCTGACTAAATTTGCCATCACTGTGTGTGGCACTCCATTTGTCTTAGGGATGCAAGTAAAAAAATACATGTTTTTCGATTTGATGCATCGGGACAAAAAATTTGTGC